GGGAGTTGCTGTCCAACACCTCGAAAAAAGGACCGGTTGGAGACGGCTGGTTGCTTCTGCTAAACTTCCTCCGATCCTTGTGATTCTTTTCCCGGTGTCCAAAGAGAAAGTCAGACCTGATTCGGTTAGACAGGGGTTCACTTCCGCCCTCCTTCTCCATCGCCGGCTTCAGTCGGGCATCGCAGACCATCAAGGGAACGGGAGGGGGCTGGGGGAGCTGCCGGCTGGCCAAGGAGGGAGCGCAGGCAGAGGGCCGGGGGCAGCGAACGTCTCTCTGCTGTCCCGCTGCTGCCCATCCATTCTCCCAGTAAGCCCGCCCGTGTTTATATTATGACATTTTCTATTTGTCATTATTTTTTAAATTTTAACTGATGTCATTTTTAACGTGAGCCAGAACAGTTTCCCCCTCGCGTTTTGTACACAATGACTTCCCTGCGATAAGATGGTCTTTCTTAACCCCGCATATATTCCCTACCCTGGCAGCATGTTTACTTGTCCCTATTAGCAGAGTTTTCTATTATTTCTTCTCCTTTCTGCCGTCCTGGCCTTAGGGGGGTGTTCTAAGAATTTGCCCTGTCTTGCTTTATTTGTTTGTGTGAAATTTAGTTTGAAAGGAGATCAGAGAGCGCAGGAGCGCAGGATTTTGTCATGAGAGAATTACCAAGTGACCCGGCGTCTGATTATATGTCATTATCTGGAGACTTGGTGTATCCAAATTACCACAACGGCCTCACTCAGCCAGATCAATTACACTGAGATACCGGGGGCGGGGGGGGGGGTGGAATATAAGCACACCGACACCTCTGTGGAAGCGTGTGTGAACGTGGAGCCTTGCACGACCCTGGCGAATTTGAAAGGCAACTGCTTTTGTCAGTGGAGATGGCAGGAAGGGGGCCGGCGGCGGCAATTCGGTTTCCTGCTGCCTGAGAGCCGGCTCCGCTGCGCTCCAGCGGGACTCGCTCCGTCGCGCGGGGAGAAATATGCCCGGTCAGCCGCGTTCATGTTCGAGGGTTCCGCGTCTAGTGCGAAGACGGGAGGGACGAGTTCAGCGTTAAGAGAGAAGCCGTGAAGGGTATTCCCATTTAAGCACTTGGGACAGGAGGAAAGTTTTTTGGCAGGCGCTGCTTAGTTTCCCGTGAATAAGAAAAGGGAGTGAATGCAAATGCCTTTGGCCAACAGGGTCTCGCTTCTTTAAGTCTCTGAAAGGTTACCTGAGCCCAGAGGTCGCGGAACTAACGACTGATATTTGAAATGCCCTTCTGAGATTTCAAAGAAACGCTCAGCAGCATTTAGTGCATGAATTCGCAGGTCTCTCCAAGAGCTCGAAGTAAGTCCACCACCATCAGCAGCGGAATAAGAGTATTTCCAGGAAAAGCTCATGTTCTGCCTTTGGCGATTCTCCAATGTTTGCTTGAGTGCTACCAGAGTCCCCCATCCCTGTAGATATAACCGTTTTGCTAGTCACCGAATTCCACCTCTACCGCCGCGGTCTCCACCCCTTTTCGGGCCGTGGAGGACCGAAGCCCGAAGCCCCTTCTGGGGGGCGGCGTTTTGCTTCTCTCGCAGCGCTCGAACTGGAGGGCTTCTGGCTGGAGAAGCGGTCACAACCGCAAGGGGGTCTCGATTTCAGGAAAGCTTACAGAGGCAAGAATGTAAAGACCGGCGGAAATTCGTCTTCCTGCTAAAGCGATTCGGTTCAGAAGGGATGATCCTCCCGCCCCGCTCCTTCCCGCAGCTTAATTCAAATAAATCCTTGCCAAGGCTAGATAAGGCAGGACGCTTCACAACTCATATTTAGCAGAGCCCCCGTAGATTCGAAGGGCTTCAGCTAACGATGCGCTTAGGGCGGCTTATCGCCATATAGACTTGTTCTTTATGTATGGGCCACTCCGTGCGTGTGAGAGTCCGCACGTTCCTCACAGCTCATGGATTACTTTCCTGAGTAACTAGCCCCAATCCCACGATTTCCATAGATTAGGTACACTGAACCCAGATCTCCCTCTGCCACTGTAACACAAGGCCCTAGATCCAGGCAATGCAGAAGGACGCGGGGATCCAAGGGGGCTCCTTTGCCTTGGGCCAGATGAGTTCGGCTCACTGAGAAAGCGCGCCCGGTCTTAAGAGGGCCAGAGCACGGGCTCCATTGCACCCCAGGGATCCTGGGGTGCACTTGTGGCGAAGAAAGGGCGTGGAAATGACTTGCAAAGGAAGCTTTGGAACTGGAGCCGAGGTCTTCAGCTTGTCAACGTTCTTCTTCCAGGAGCAGTTCAGCCCCGGACACACACTGGGTCGAAAACACTGGGATTTCCGTCTGCCTCCCCTTCCAATAATCGGAGCCTTCCGGATAGGTTGGACTACAGTTCCCATTATCCCCAGCGAGCACGCTTATAGGGAAGAAATGATGGGAATTTCAGTTTCACAGATGTCAAAGGCTGGTTGCTCCCCTCTGCCTAATTTTATACAGACTAGAGAATGTATTGTTGCTGCTGCTGCTGCTGCTGCTGCTGCTATTAAATCTCCAGCCCTTGAACAGGGAAAAACAAAACAGGATTATATTTGCGAAGAGCGAGATATAGAAGGTAAAGAAGAGCCAGGAATGAATTTCACCATATTCCATTAGTTGAACAGGGGTCTTAACACAGAAAAAGAAATACTGTTTGGGCTGGATTCCCTGCAACATGTAAACTGATTCTCTATCCTATGATGACAAAGTGTAGATTTTATCCAACTGAAATCTCCCTTCCGATCTATGTTTACTTGGTTGTGGGAATTATTCCTATACCCACGTGAATAACATATAATAATATCTATTATATAATTCACCCCAAATTCTTAAATGCAGTATGGAGCCAGGCTTTACTGGAGAATAAATGGTTTTAATTTCCAGAAGTAATTCTCATTTATTTCAATTAGTATGCCTTTGCCCTAATTAACATCGCTGATTAAAAGTAACCTATGCAATGTCCATGTAAAATGCTTGGAAAGCTGGTTTCTTGCAAGTAAAGAACTGGAGGTTCCTTTATTTAAATCGTAATTATTTAAACAATACAGGGCCACAGAATTGTATTTATTTTGTGCTTAAAAATAACCCCTAAAGATAACCCCTAAAGATAACTTTCTAAAATATTATAAAATATACAGGAATCTGTGAAAACTTAGGAAGTCATTATAATTATAATAAAAGAACAAATATATAATTTGTACAAATGATGATAGGCGAGAAAAAAGAAGAAACAAAAAAAATAAATAAATTACCCACTTCTCTTGGGGTTCAACCTATACTCGCTCACCTGGAAGTAACTCCCTCTGAATTCTATGGGACATGGGTCAGAGTAGACATGGATTAGGACTGCATGGTGAGGGGCTCTAAAATTGTGTGCTGCTAACCATATTAACTGGCAAGCAAAGACCTCTTAATTTCAATGATTGGGAGGGGGATTCCATGCATCTTAAGTTATAAAATTGGGGAAACAACTAACAATCTAGAAGAGCTCCAGTTCCTTGATGGTATAGATGAATGTGCTGCCCTGCCCACGTCCCATTTTTTACTCTTTCTGGATATGTAACTGGAACGTCTGGGGGGGGGGGCAGTCTCGGTGGGAGACATAGAAGGGGGGATACAACCAGTCAGATGTCAACCCTCCTTCAAGACTCCCTGATTTCTTCATAAATCAATAATCGGAATGGGGGATAGGAAATTGGATGAGGGAAGTCTGGCTGAATGAAAGAAGATCTGATTTCCTCAAGAATAAACCTGTTAAGTTGTAACCCCCTCGCCTAAACCCCACTTTTCTTGAAGATAAAGCCCACTGAGTTAGTAGAACATCTTTCCGGGCAATTTTTTGCTTGGTGGCTCCTCATCAGCTGAATAGGACATTTAAGGAAGCACGCAAAGGACCCACCAACCTGAATCTGATGCTCCCAATCACCTAGGAATTGAGAATGGCAAATCCTTGCGATTTTCCTCCCCATTCCTTAATCTGAAATAAACGAACTCATTTCGATAGAATTCCTACAAAAACTGCTTTTAAAATCAATGAAAAAAATCTAAAAGAGGAGACAGACAGACATAACCTTATAAATATTAGACACAATAATAAAGACTCAATCACTGATGGAATTGTTATCCAGAAATAATGTATTTGGGGCAAGGAGGTAATGTCAGATTCATTTGATGAAATATCAATATAGTTGATTGAAATCCGGGAATAGTAGAAGGGGGGGGGAGAGAATGAGGAGATAGGAAAATGTTTCTTTTGCACTGCAAGGGTGAGTCAAAATGGGCATCAAGAAATAAATAAGATTGTGTTGGCAAACGGATGAAAAATTAAAGTGTAGGGAAAACAGCAGAATGTCTTTCTTTCCCAAACATTCTTGGGCATCACTTTATAAATCTCTATTCACTGCATTATCTTGGAACAAGATCCACAAGTTAATTAAGACGAAGACATTGGCCTGAAAGCCAACGAATGCCTTAAAGACACGTGTGTATGTGTGTATTAATTGGGGCGTGCTGCCAGATAAACCTGTCCAGTCGCATGCAGCCTAACCCTAAACTCCATCGATTCAAACAGGAACCCCCGGGCCCTGAATGGGCTTCTTTAGAATTGTGGCCCTAACACGGAATCTGTGTTGCCCTGCGGGGGGGGGGGGGGGGGGGGGGGGAAGGAGAGAGAGAGAGAATGCTTTTAACGCAGCTACTCTCCTGGGGACCTGTCTCCTTTGGCCCAAAGGCTTCGCGGGGCAATCCTGATCGCTGATGGCAGGGGAAACTGCAGGCCCAGGCTCCTTTCTGTCTGAGTGGTGGACGATCACTCCTTGCCTGGTCACTTCTCCCGCTTGCGGTGTGAATCCAAACAACCAATGGCTATTGTTCCCAGCAGCTGCCGACTTGAGCATTCCTAAGAATAAATCGCATTCATTCAACGTTGTATTATGACTGAGATGCTCTTGAGAGGAGTGGGTCATATGGTGATTAAGGGCG